AAATACCCGGCAGCACTTTTCGTAAAAATTCCTTGTCTGTTGGTTTCTTTTGGCATTCCGTGTTGCTCTTTTTGTGTCTTGTCACGTGCTGTTATCAGCTTGGAGAAATTAATCTCTTATTTAAGTATCAGGCTCGTTCTAAAAACAGTACCCAAAAAAAGACGATACCATATGTTAAATACAATAACAAAGAATACGATACTCGAACCAGGGCTAATTACAAATTAATAAATTTTATTATGTTCATAATTAATTTAAAAAATCAAAAGGAAATAAAATTAAAGCTATTGGCTTACAGTATAATGATTGTGGTACAAGTCTTGAAGAAGATACAATGTTGTAAAAAGGTGACAATGATGAAAAGGAATCTACACACACAGTAAACACTCTCCGTCTCGAAGCAAAGCTTTATAGCAAAAGAAGCACACGCTCAAAATATCTCTTGTCTGATCTTCCGCTCAATCTCTCTAGGCGTTTCTATAGCCTGTTTCATAGATTACCTATCGAACGGACTTACGCATTGTTTTCCTTTCTCGATATATTCTACATAATTCTACAGAATTCTAATAATAATACCAGACCATAGATTTTAGTTAGTTGTAACCAAGGTCAACAGAGACTATATTTAGTTAGCCGCACCCTAATAGCGCTGTCGAACTGGGGGTCAGCTTAAGTTCATTCACCAGAAAAGATGAATGAAAGTAAACGAGACGCCGATAACAGTCTTACATGGCTTCCTTTCGGGCATCCTCTGCCTGTTGGATTCCCACAACTACTTATCGTTCTCTGTCTGAATGGTGGTTAGCGATACTCTCCCAGTCGCCAATTTGGATGTTGGCTTTCTTCTAATATTTTTGTACACACGTCACTCTAGCGAAGACTCGGTCATCCAATACGTCTTGCAACCCATTGCTAATATCGCTATTCTCAGGTATAGCAGCTTTCTATTAAATACGCCCTGCCTCTTACTAAGAATGGATACCATTTAAAAGTATAAGCTTTGAGTTTGTACAACACTTGCTTGTTTACTCTGGCCATAGCTGCTGAATATAATAATGCGGCTCGAATTGTTCTTCGCAAACGCAATCTCGACCATGCTAAAACACTTCTGAGAGAGCTACACTGGCTGCCCATCAGTTCGCATAGATTACAAAATTGCAACTTTGTGCTACAGCTGCTTACATGACCTGGCGCCGTCCTATCTGAAAGAGCTGCTGACGCCTTATGTACCCACTAGACAACTTCGCTCAACTGATAGTGGCAAACTATCGACACCACGCGTTCGCCTTGAGACTTACGGAAAGCGCACTTTCGCATTTGCTGGTCCAACAATTTGGAACGCCCTTCCTGTCGCTCTCAGAAACAACCAGACACTGGAGTCCTTTAAAAGAGATTTAAAGACACATCTATTTCGCAAACACCTTCTGGGAGGATGTTGTCTACCATTTTTTCCAATTAAGGCATATTGGCTGTGTTGCTTATGGTTGAAATGGGTAGAAAGACTTTGACTTGGTATGCTTGTAATTAGTTTTTGTAGAGTTGCGTTTGTTTTGAATGTGGTAAATTATAGATGTTTAAACATGGTTAATTTTGTACCGCGCTTCGAGCCTTTGGGGATGAAATGTGTTTTTCAAATAAACTTTATTATTATTATTATATTAGGTCATGATTGTGGATCACTGTTTGGTCATTGGTATATTAGGACATTATTTTTGTTCACTGTTGGATCATTGGTATATGAGGTCACGACTGTGGTTCACTGTTTGGTCCTTGGTATATTAGGTCATGTTTGTTGTTCACTGTTAGGGTCTTTTGTATATTAGGTCATGATTGTGGTTCACTATTTGGTCATCGGTATATTAGGTCATGATTTTTGTTCACTGTTGGATCATTGATATATTAGGTCATGATTGTGTTTCACAATATGGGTCATTGGTATATTAGGTCATGATTGTGGTTCACTTATAGGGTCAATTGTATATTACGTCATGATTGGGGTTCACAATTTGGTCATTGGTATATTAGGTCATGATTGTGGTTCACAATAAGGGTAATTGGTATATTAGGTCATGATTGTGGTTCACAATAAGGGTCATTGGTATATTAGGTCATGATTGTGGTTCACAATAAGGGTCATAGGTATATTAGGTCATGATTGTGGTTCACAATAAGGGTCATTGGTATATTAGGTCATGATTGTGGTTCACTATTGGTCATTGGTTATATTCCTTATTCTTTTCTTTTATTACCGCTTTTGGGAATAATATTTTCTTTTATTTACAACAAGATGAGTCATGGGTCAAGGTTCAGAACTTAATTCATACATGATGACGATTGTGTAAAGGCGGCATGAAAGTGAACAAATGAAATGCTGTGACGTATTCGGAAGGCGTATTGATGGGATTTTTGTGTATGATGTAAATAATAGGTTTACCGACGCAAGAAACCTCCAGACCAATCACATCCGTCTGCAAGATGAATTCTGGTCCCGTGGTCCGGTATTTACAATGAAGGATCGTCCTAGGATAAAAATATTATTTTGTGTGTGTGTGTGCCTTTTTTTTTTTTTTTTAGATACGTATATGAAATTATAAAATGTATGTTTTTATGGCTTACAGAAAGGGTCCAGTAAGGGGGGGGGGCTTTAAATTAATCAAAGAGGTCGATACGCTAATACTACAATTTGTTGAATAAATAGTGATGGATATTCAACAGAAGGAAGGAATGAGCATTAGAAGATAAGAGTGAAAGGACAGTAGCATAAAAAGTGTGGGCTTGAGAATATTATGTATGATATAGTAATACATGATAAGACTGTGATTGGGACGGTTGTGAATGAAAAGGTTGTGAATGAGAAGGTTGTGAATGAGAAGGTTGTGAATGAGAAGGTTGTGAATGAGAAGGTTGTGAATGAGAAGGTTGTGAATGAGAAGGTTGTGAATGAGAAGGTTGTGAATGAGAAGGTTGTGAATGAGAAAGCTGTGAATGAGAAGGTTGTGAATGAGAAGGTTGTAAATGGGTATGCTGTGCAGGAGAAGGTTGTGAATGAAAATGTTGTGAATGAGAAGGTTGTGAATGAGAAGGTTGTGAATGAGAAGGTTGTGAATGAGAAGGTTGTGAATGAGAAGGTTGTGAATGAGAAAGCTGTGAATGAGAAGGTTGTGAATGAAAAGGTTGTGAATGAGAAGGTTGTGAATGAGAAAGCTGTGAATGAGAAGGTTGTGAATGAGAAGGTTGTGAATGAGAAGGTTGTGAATGAGAAGGTTGTGAATGAGAAGGTTGTGAATGAGAAGGTTGTAAATGAGAAAGCTGTGAATGAGAAGGTTGTGAATGAGAAGGCTGTGAATGAGAAGGTTGTGAATGAGAAGGTTGTGAATGAGAAGGTTGTGAATGAGAAGGTTGTGAATGAAAAGGTTGTGAATGAAAAGGTTGTGAATGATAAGGCTGTGAATGAAAAGGTTGTGAATGAGAAGGTTATGAATGAGAAGGTTGTGAATGAGAAGGTTGTAAATGAGAAAGCTGTGAATGAGAAGGTTGTGAATGAGAAGGCTGTGAATGAGAAGGTTGTGAATGAGAAGGTTGTGAATGAGAAGGTTGTGAATGAGAAGGTTGTGAATGAAAAGGTTGTGAATGAAAAGGTTGTGAATGATAAGGCTGTGAATGAAAAGGTTGTGAATGAGAAGGTTATGAATGAGAAGGTTGTGAATGAGAAGGTTGTAAATGAGAAAGCTGTGAATGAGAAGGTTGTGAATGAGAAGGCTGTGAATGAGAAGGTTGTGAATGAGAAGGTTGTGAATGAGAAGGTTGTGAATGAGAAGGTTGTGAATGAAAAGTTTGTGAATGAAAAGGTTGTGAATGATAAGGCTGTGAATGAAAAGGTTGTGAATGAGAAGGTTATGAATGAGAAGGTTGTGAATGAGAAGGTTGTAAATGGGTATGCTGTGCAGGAGAAGGTTGTGAATGAAAATGTTGTGAATGAGAAGGTTGTAAATGAGAGGGTTGTGAATGAGAAGATTGTGAATGAGAAGGTTGTGAATGAGAAGGTTGTAAATGAGAAGGTTGTGAATGAGAGGGTTGTGAATGAGAAGGTTGTAAATGAGAAGATTGTGAATGAGAGGTTTGTGAATGAGGAGGTTGTAAATGAGAAGATTGTGAATGAGAGGGTTGTAAATGAGAAGGTTATAAATGAGAAGGTTGTGAATGAGAAGGCTGTGAATGAAAAGGTTGTGAATGAGAAGGTTGTAAATGAGAGGGTTGTGAATTAGAGGGTTGTGAATGAGAAGATTGTGAATGAGAAGGTTGTAAATGGGCATGCTGTGCAGGAGAATGTTGTATATAAAGAAACATTAGCAAAGAAATATTGTGCTTTTAGACCTTACAAAATAAAACTTGAAAAAAAAGAGCTTTTTTGCTGTAGATGAACATTGGCTGTAGTGTAGCTATGGCTATAGTGGACATTTGCTATATATAAGCATTTTCAAAAAAAACTCTTGAACACTAAATTCCACCTACGCACACTTTATGGCGCTGCCAAGTCTTGTGGCAAAACTAGTCTTGCAACGTGTCTTTATCCTTATGTTTATATTTACTTTGCTGCATCCGTCCTATCACGTGTATCTTTGAATCACCTGGAGTCACATGAGCGTTTACAATGGTTTTCTCCTCAAAGATATACAGTAGATTTATAAAAATGTCCACAATTAAGTAAATTTAGTTGGCCCCCGTCTAGACGATTTTCGTAAAACCTTAATGGGTTGCTAGTAGTATTAATGCTTTAAAATTGTATCGTAGTTAGTGGATTAAATGTCATTTCAACTCAAAGGGATTTTGAAATTATTGAAACGTTTGAGTTTGCTGTCATTTACTGGGTATCGAATCTGTTTGCTTCTCTTTCACTCACTCAGTCATAATTTGTGTGTGTGTGTGAGTTAAACACTATTTTTTCGGCTAACCCATACGCATGAGCTCTACCACTGGGTGACCGACCATGTTGTCTATCTCCAGCCACAGAGCTCGTTACCTCCATCACCTACGAGCCCATGGAGAGACGCCCGCGGACGGCCAATGACGACAACGAAGATCACAGCGGAAGTGATGACACTGATGGCGGCGACTCTGACAGTTCTTGTGGTGGGTCACTGCTATATGCGTTAAGATTTCATATGCATATGTTGTTGTTGTTTTTTTGCCTTAGAATAATCATTTTTTCAGACAAGGGCAATACTTTGAAGCGTCTGACTAATGATATTGTACTTTAACATCCTAATTCATGACTTTATTGATCCTTGGTGGATTTGTTAATACATTAATTTTTATAGACATCTATTTATTTATAAGGATTAATTTTTTTAAAATCTAAAATCGATAGAAAAAAGCAAACTTTTAGTAAAACTATCTTTAGATGAAATCCGTAAATCCTTAATTTTAAAAACGAAAAAAAAATTTAAAAAGTAAAGGCATAAAATCAACAAAGAAACAAAACTGTCGTAAAAGTCGACAAATCAATCCTATCAAGTCCTATCTTACGCAGCACACTACATTCATAGCACACTACCTTACACAGCATACTATCATACACAGCACACTACCTTACACAGCATACTACCTTACACAGCACACTACCTTACACAGCACACTACCTTACACAGCACACTACCTTACACAGCATACTATCATACACAGCACACTACCTTACACAGTATACTACCTTACACAGCACACTACCTTACACAGCACACTATCTTACACAGCACACTATCTTACACATCACACTATCTTACACAGTACACTATCTTACACAGCACACTATCTTACACAGCACACTATCTTACACAGCACACTACCTTACACAGCACACTACCTTACACAGCACACTTCTTATCCAGCACACTTCTTATCCAGCACAATATCTTATCCAGCACACTATCTTATCCAGCACACTATCTTATCCAGCACACTATCTTATCCAGCACACTATCTTATCCAGCACACTATCTTATCCAGCACACTATCTTACACAGCACTGCCGAAGATAATAGAAGGGTTCAAGTCAGTTTTTCGAAATTTCCATGTTATCTCCCATGTGACTACATTCCATTCAATAGAATAATATGGCACATAGGCCCAACTGAAAAAGCAGCGTTCTCAATAAATGAATACATAGACATCTTGACATTTTCATGAGGAATTTTCAAACTTTATATTCAGTTTTTCTCAAAACTCTCAAAACCTGACATCACTGGTTTTCCCCCTTTGAATGTTATAATGTGTGATTTTGTCTCTATTTTCAGATGAGTTTGAAACACGTGACCAACAGAGCAGGAGGAGAAGGCAGTCCGAAGAATCGGGAGAGGAGGAGGACACCAGTTTACTCTAATACCCAACCCCCCTAAGGGGTCATGGGTCACATGTGCATGCAGACAAAACAAAATGTATCGTATGTAGGATTGGCGCAGATTTCACAGCTGTGAATCAATAACCTGAAATTTGCCAAGCTCACATGTATTCTCAACTGAGAAGTAGTCACAGATGTGAGTTTGAATTATAAAAAAAAATGCTACTATAACTAAAGTATGTATCCTGGGCTCCTAATGTATTATATAGATGGGAACAGCGATCACGCCGTGTAAAGTAAATAAAGAATGGAACAAGATATCATTGTTTGGGGCCTGACAACAACGACAGGACAAGGCCAAGCGCACATTGTTCCACTATTTATTTCCTGATGCTTAGGAATCAAGAATTGAGCCTAACATAAATTGTGACGCAGGTGTGTGTACATGGAGCAGTGATGGAGCTGAGAAATTCACGTCATCTTCCAATGTTTACTGGTGTAGGCAAGTTATGTAATCACCCGACGCTTACTGATGTAATGGAGTTCATTTGATGAACTGATGTTTGATGGTACAATGATTAATTCATTTTCTGGTTAAAGATGTCAGGTGTTGGTGTAATCATTCAATGTCCATTATTATCGTATGATGCTTTTATCACCATCCTAAGTATTCTGATGTAATTAATCTCTATAATCACGCTATGTTCGTTGATCTAATCTATTTTAAAGTACGACTTACGTGGTTCAATCATACGAAGCACTTGAAGTATTTCGTCAGCTGTAAATGAGGGTTGTAGAAAAACTGGAATTCCCCATTAACCATCTCAATTGTAATCTGTTTCAGGTTTCACTGAGAGCAGTAAGTGCGCGAAAGACAGCCTTAAAAAAAATAATATGGTGTTTTCTATATGTACAGAACACATGTAGTTGGAATGAGAAACAATACTAATTGCAGAACAATTTCTTCACTAAAAGATTCATATGCACACATATCCCTTAGTACGGCTCCCTACGGAATTGCCTCTTAAATTTGGCTCCCAATTTTTATGGTCAGCAGACGGATCGAGGATCCGACATATTTTGAATGATGAAAGTTATTTTTGTATAAAAGAAACATATTGATAACACAATTTTAGCTCTTTATCATTAGAGAACAACGATTGAAGCGGTTACATGTGATTGACCAAAATATGTAAGCAAATTACATTCCAAAAAATTTTGTTTAGAAAATGATTGATTGTTTTCACAGAAGTCTTGTTATGAAATATATTTGAAAGACAAACTTCTACCTCTTACATACACTGAAGCTATTCTGTATAAGAAAATATGTAAATACCATTTGTAGAGATAACATATAAAAAAGAAAGAATCTAAGGGACTGAGGAATGATTGATAGAAAGTAGGGGCTATGAAACATTGAGTGAATGATTAATTGAAAGTAGGGGCTGTGACAACACAGAGTAAATGATAGATAGAAAGTAGGGGCTGTGACAACACAGAGTAAATGAGAGATAGAAAGTAAAAAAAAAAAAAAAAAGGCAGTGAGATAAAAACATTTCACAGGCAGATTTGTTCCTGATCAATGTGATTACTGTAAAAGATAAAATGAAAGATAGAAAGTAGGGGCTGTGACAACACAGAGTAAATGAGAAATAGAAAGTAAAAAAAAAAAAAAAAGGCAGTGAGATAAAAACATTTCACAGGCAGATTTGTTCCTGATCAATGTGATTACTGTAAAAGATAATCTATGTTTCTTAATTTCCTCTCTTGAAGAAAACATTTACAAACTGAAACATTTGAAGCACACACATCTGATTCACAACCTCTGATTCACAACATCTGAAATACAACATCTGATTCACAACTGAAATACAACCGCTGATTCACAACATCTGAATTACAACATCTGATTCACAACCTCTGATTCACAACATCTGAAATACAACATCTGATTCACATCTGAAATACAACCGCTGATTCACAACATCTGAATTACAACATCTGATTTACAACATCTGATTCACAACATCTGAAATACAACCTCTGATTCCCAAAAGCTGAAATACAACATCTGATTCACAACATCTTAAATACAACCTCTAATTCACAACATCTGAAATACAACATCTGATTCACAACATCTGATTCACAACATCTGAAATACAACCTCTGATTCACAACATCTGAAATACAACATCTTATTCACAACATCTGAAATACAACATCTGATTCACAATATCTGAAATACAACATCTGATTCACAACATCTGAAATACAACCTCTGATTCACAACATCTGAAATACAACATCTTATTCACAACATCTGAAATACAACATCTGATTCACAACATCTGAAATACAACCTCTGATTCACAACATCTTAAATACAACCTCTGATTCACAACATCTGAAATACAACATCTTATTCACAACATCTGAAATACAACATCTGATTCACAACATCTGACATAAAACCTCTGATTCACAACATCTTAAATACAACATCTGATTCACAACATCTGACATACAACCTCTGATTCACAACATCTTAAATACAACATCTGAAACCCAAATAATAAGAGCACAAAGATTTCAAACACAACATCTGAAAGACTTACATTTGAAACCCAAACATTTGTAACTCTAACATTAACATATTTTTGCATTTGAAATTCGATTTTTAATGCACTGCAGATTATATGATTCTGTAAACATACTCATTATTCTGAATATTTTTTTTTTCTATTTGAATCAATAACTCATTGGCCGTCAGGTTATTATACAATAATTGCAATAATTTGTTTCCGCTGGAAAAGGAATGTCAAAATTAATTCAATTATAAATCTATCTCTTGCATTTTTTTCCCCATTTTTTTTCGGTTTGTTTTGTTTATTAACTTTATATCACGAATTACTTGTAATGTCACATGACATGCTATTTAAATCATCATTATTAAGTTTCTCATTGATAACAATTTCGATATCATTCCGAAATATTTCTATGTACGGTATTATCCACATTCATGACCATCTTTTTTGTTCGAAAGAAAGGGCGTTAACTCTTAAAGATAGAATCGAATGATCAAAAAGACCAAGCACTTAAAGGATATATGGCCCCATCCCATATTTGAATATGCCGAGCACATTGTAAAAGAATAAGTAGCTAGTAGTTAGATGTAGGATAAAATAAGCCCCGATTCTGTATGAATAAAGAGTTATTCCTGGTAATTAGTTTGTATTCGTTTAAGGGTTTGGAATTCTTTGCAGTTTTCGTTGCAGAACATCCACAACCGTTCAACCATATCAACAATTGCGACTTAAAGGTTGAAAATCACTCCCCCCAAAAATGTGTTGTTCTTTTTTTTTTTTTGGTTAAAATATTCATTTTTGAAATTATTGGAATATACGAGAGAGTATCTAAACTATGTTTTGCGTCCTCCATGTCAAAAAATGCCTCCTCTAGTTAATGATTTGCCTAGGGGTACCACACCTTTTATGGGCCCACCACAAGGAGCCATTGTGTTGGGGGGGGGGGGGGGGCTAGCGGGATTCCTGTGATTTAATTTGATCTGAAAAGTGCTTGTAGAAATTGAGAGTGGGAGTGGGGGTGAGCGTGGAGGGGGAGAGCAGTGGCGTACCTTGACTAATGCTGCTAGGAAGAAATCCTACAATTGCGCCTCCCAAAACAAACACATCGGTTTATATTATGTTCGGCCTTTATATATATATAAACACTGAACTTGCGCCTCTGGCTATCACCCCATTCGCCCTCCCCCCCCTCCTCTTAGTTGCATCCAGAGTGAAGGCAAAACTTCAAATGCCTAGGGGTATCTGCAGATCTTAACTGATTACACTCAACTTGTGGGGTCGTCAAACATTTTTTTAAAAAAAGACGTGATAAATTGACCAGAAATGGAAATCTTTACCAAAGATCGGTTTGAAGGCTTGGACAGACTTTTACAGTGCCATATCACAGAGAGCATGTCATGATTGGTGTAGTTGTGTGTGTTGTCGGCACGAGTTACAACCGTTTACAAACTACGTCTACGGGCAACTCACGTCATACCGTGGCCGAGGTTCACAAAAAACATTTAGAAATAACGCCTGTATAACAATGATACATGTGCTACTAAATGTTAGGATATTTGCATGTCTCATGAAAATTTAGTATTTACATGCACCATTATAAATGTTTGCGCGACCATACGGGCCTTGTGCCCAGTGTAAATAACATGTTCGGTAACTCTATCATTATAGTCATCCATGTCTTCCGTCTACTGTTTGCCAATATGAATTTCATAGTTTCAAAGTGATGTTTAAATTGTTATTGTCACCAAGATAGGCACATTTATTAGCAATAGGTGTATTTTTCAGCTATGTAGGAACATTTATCAGCCGAGGATGCAACATTTATCAGCCCATGATTGGTCAGCTAATGATACTACGTTTATCAGCCAATGATTGGTCAGCTAATGATACTACGTTTATCAGCCAATGATTGGTCAGCTAATGATACTACGTTTCTCAACTCTCAAACAAAGAAGCGCATCTTCATTAAATAATAGGCGTGTTAACATCTTGACTAAGTAATGGCGAATTTATTAGCTACTTCATCGAGCTATGTGATATAGACAAGTGGATTTATCACATACGTACGTTGATCAGATGCATGTATCCTCTAGAGATGGATCAAAGTTTCAGCTATAGATGGGCACATCTGTCACATTTAGATTGCTTTTGCTGTCAGATCGTTGAGTGATAGATGGTGTTAGTGAAGGTAACTTGTGCGTGACCATATAGAATCTTATACATCAGCCAACTAGCAAAAAAGAAAGTTCGATACGGTTTGAAATGTAAATGGAAAAAAAAAAAAAAAACAACCTAATGGACTTCCAAGACCTGCTGACCTGGACCGATGATCCTATGTTGTGTATAAACTTTTTCAATCGTATTTATCGTCAACTCATTGTAAGAGATTAGAAAAATCTGTAACACATCATCATCAATAAAGTGTATAGCATTCATTCAGTTAACGCCTAATTTAATCACGTCTATTGTTTAACGAAAACATAATAATAAAATGTGACCAAAAAAATTGTGACCCATTGAATGGTATCATTTGTCATGTTTCATCACGTCCCTGGCTTAGAGAAGAATAAAGACAACGTCCTGATTTCTGTGGACCTCATTGTTGTTTCTTTGTTGTTTCTTTGTTGTTTCTTTGTTGTTTCTTTGTTGTTTCTTTGTTGTTTCTTTGTTGTTTCTTTGTTGTTTCTTTGTGGTTTCTTTGTGGTTTCTTTGTCGTTTCTTTGTCGTTTCTTTGTCGTTTCTTTGTCGTTTCTTTGTCGTTTCTTTGTCGTTTCTTTGTCGTTTCTTTGTTGTTTCTTTGTCGTTTCTTTGTTGTTTCTTTGTTGTTTCTTTGTTGTTTCTTTGTTGTTTCTTTGTTGTTTCTTTGTTGTTTCTTTGTTGTTTCTTTCTTTGTTGTTTGTTTCTTTGTTGTTGTTTTTTTTTTGTTGTTTGTTTTTTTTGTTGTTTCGTTGTTATTTTTTTGTTGCTTCTTCCTCTTTTATGAAACTTACATTATTTAGAATTTATCATTAAAACAAAAATTTAACAAATAGATTTAACAATTTTGTTTTAATGAATTCTTCACCAACTTAATTTTTAAAAAATGACAGAATTCTTTAGGATGTTATAAAAATCTATGGAGTCGACAACACAGCAACACAGCAACAGAGTCAGTGAAGAAAAAGCCCAGACAAGTAAATCAGTCGAATGGCCACTACAAAATCTATACCATTAGATCAAGTTGGATGTAAACGAAGTCGATGGGACGGAACGAATATGTTGTTGTTGTTGTAAGACCGGCAGGGTGAGGCTCTTGAGCTATGAACATATTGGCATGACTAAATTATCTTACCAGGCGCACCGACACGGTATATAAGACATTAAAAAACTTAATAATAATATGCAAGATATTGAAGAAAGAAGAACACATGATAAGTATGTGAGTAACAACAATGAAAACACCTGTAGAAATATTTTTAAAAAAAATAATGCGCCTTTATTTTAAACATAATAGTCACCAACAATAATAATAATCATACATAATCACTAACAATAATAATACATATACATCATTCCCCAAAATAATAAAATATATATACATAATCACCACCAATAATAATTTCTGTATAACATATCACCACCAATAATATATATATATATATACATAATCACTTAAAATAATAATATGTGTACATAATCACCGACGAAGATCATCTAGTAGCAAACTCACGACACCACGTGTTTGCCTTGAGACTTACGGAAAGCGCACTTTCGCATTTGCTGGTCCAACAATTTGGAACGCCCTTCCTGTCGATCTCAGAAATAACCAGACACTGGAGTCCTTTAAAACTGATTTAAAGACACATCTATTTCGCAAACACCTTCTGGGATGATTGTCTACCATATTTTCCAGTTAATGCATAATGGCTGTGTTGCTTAGGGTTGAAATGGCTAGAAAGACGTTGCCATTGTATGCTTGTAATTAGTTTTTGTAGTGTTGCGTTTGTTTTAAATGTGGTAAATTATAGATTTGTTTTTTGTTGACTTTGTACCGCGCTTCGAGCCTTTGGGGATTGTTTTTGAAATGAACTTTATTATTATCATTATTATTATTATTATTTCATTTAATAATTTATTGTTGTAATGCCCAAACTAAAAGCACAACCAAACTGTGTGTTTACATAGCGCTCCACAAGAATAACGGTTAGATGGCGTTCTGCATCTTTTAATGAGATCGAATAACCAAAGTTCAATCATGCAATCAACCAACATTATTTTATGTACAAAAGTTGTAACCATGACAGAATGAAACCTTAGCTTTGGGGCCTAGGATGTTAATCATGTTAAGGCTGAAGCATAAGACTAATGTCTTAAGGGTGTGTTTTGAGAAGCATCGTGATAAAGGGCAAGGAGTACGTTCTGAAATGATTAGGACTTACTGTACGCTGGTGCGGGGGTGGAGGGTAGCTCAGGGATCTAAGGACTATACAGTTTTGAAAAACGTCATGACTGTTTTATATGGGGGCGGGCGGGGTGTGGGGGGGGGGTGGCTGTTTGGGTGGATGTTAGATGACTGGAGACAATAAATAAAGACTTGTGTGATTTTATTGAATCGTGTTCATCGATAACGTTTTGGGTAAAGAACTCGTCCGAAGGATCTGGCGGCATGAAGATTTATCTTTTAAGAGGACGCTCAAAAAGCATAAATTGAATGGTGAAAACAGCCCAACAGCGGAGTGTCCAGCAGCGGACAACTTGGCAGCAACAAATTATGAGTCGATTGTTGAAAATATTAATTTGCTAAGCTACTTCACAAGGAAGATAATCAAACAAGCAGAGGCAACCATTAAGGTTAGTTCAAACCTTTTTTTTTTTTGTGCAGGAGAACAACATGGAGTCCTACCAACATGGAGCACTGGACGAGACGGCATAAAAGCATGACGTCACTACACAACCAACAATGTGCTGTGCCAAACAATGCGTCATCAGCAGTCAGCATTTGGTCATTCTCCAGCACCAGTGACCTAAACCGCCCGTGTTATTTCATCGTGACTCTTTTCCCATTGAGACGGGTCTTAATTGGTGGAGACTTTAATGTATTTTGTTGTTGTTGTTCGTTAAGATACAGCTTAACTTCCAAAACGAATTGTGCTGTACAGAAAACCGTAACAGTAATGCCTTTATCGATGAGAGTAAATTGTTACATTGTTTTCTTGAGTATCCACCATATGGAAAACAAAAAACTCAGGCTTTTTTTACATTTTAAATAAAATGATTAACATCCTAGGCCCTAAAAGAAGAAAAATTTGAATGTCATAAAAAAAAAAGGAAATCACGTTAGTCGTGAATGAGAATGTAAGGGAACAAACCCTCAAGGCTTTTGTTTTGATGTTACAGTTATAATGTAAGGATGCCTTAGCGATACATTGAAATCAAATATAATTACACGTTTCGTTGGATGGCGCCATAAAAAATCCTACGCTTTCCTTTTCGCACTGTCCGTGGAAAATAAACTAATCAGACAACGTTTATTTTCGGTATCGGAAAGGCGCATTTGGATTTCAAAGACGCCAGTGGAACCCTTTGGGCACCATTTACAAGAAAATCAACGTCCAAGATAAGCATTTAATTTTAAATAAAACATTTTTTTTTTTGAAGGGGTTTCATCTGAAACCAAAAGTAATGAAATATTTTATAATTTCTTCAAATAATAATGCAGATGTGTTTTTGACACAACGTTTGAAAACATTTGTCTAATGATAAAATCTGTTTGAAAAAGATGTTTGAAAACAACATACGTATACAATACAGGTTTATGCATATCTTAGTTAATGCCTTTGTTTTTACGTAAAGGACAAACACGCCTGGCATTTAAAAAAAAAAGATTTCAAAAATAAAATCATTGTGAACATATGAAAAAGAGAAGACAAGACAGTATTTTTCATATATAAGAGTAGAACAGCGTGAATAGCGAACTTTCTTCAAATATAACTGTAGTTGAACAGCGAACATTCTGTTATCATTAGAGTAGGAGAATAATTTTTTTTTAAAACAGCTATCGATTTTTGACATATGACATTCTATTACTCACGTTGACAATTATTTTAATCAGTAATTAGGAAAATAGTTCATGTTATCTTCGTTACACCAATTAGTGTGCACATCTCTTGAGCCTACCTTCATATTATAATGGGTGACGTCACCCGCGTCATCTATCATCATTTAGGGTGCACATCTCTCGAGTCAACATTATTACTTTACGGATTGACACCACCCATGTCATCTATCATCATTTAAGGTGCTCATCACTCGAGCCAAACTTCCTATTGTACGGAGTGATGCCAGCCGTGCCATCTAATCGATAGAAAGATGATACAGTTTATATAGATTATTGGATCTTTACTCTGTTCAAAACCCTCTAGCAAATAAACACTAATTACTTCCAAACATGCATATATTTTAGAAACACATTAAATATACGTCATTTCCCAGAGAAGATTTGTAATCATATTTCGAAAATTAACTTGAAATTGTATAAAATAAATGATATGACAAAGAAATTATATCAGTTATTATTAAAAATGTATGCAATAGGTACACATGTCTATACTACTTGTAAACTTTGTTGGGTCGTGGCAAAGAAGATTATACGGTGTGAAGATCGATATCATTAAACCTGATATACGTTCCATTACACTTCATTACAGAAATAAAATATCGATTCCGGGAAGGATGGAAGGATTGTATTCGCAAAAACCGTAAACAGACGTCAATTAGATTGCTATAAGTGAAAATTTTGTAAATGATTGTGCAGCAAATTGTAATGGGCTGTAACGTCTTCATAGCTTAGATGTCATTTAGGCATCAGGATTAGAATTCAACTAAATACGATGCACTCTGTCTCGGCCGATAAGTAAGTAGAAATTAACGTCATGACATAGCATTGAAATAGTGTTTCACCAAGCAAGTTTTCTAGAATTATGCTAAAATGTGACCAAGTACAGAGCTGTGGTCGGTTTTGGCGTTTATTGAAATCTTCAGCTATGACGTTGGTATGCTTCAAACTCCTGTTTGAAAAACATTTTCTCATCCAGATAATTTTAACGAAAGAATTCATCTTGAAATAAATGAAATTTGTAACATAATAATAAAAAACCCAACTTAGAATGCCCATTCAGTTTTTCAACGCAACGGAGAAAGAAGTCATCGCAGAAGTGATCTCAGATCCACTTTTCGTCTCCGACGAAACAAGACTATTCTTTGAGCTGTTCAACTACGTCATTCTGTGCAGCGTGGTTGCTGTAGTCGGCATCGTTTCAAATATCATCAACATCATAGTCTTCTGCAGGCAGGGACTCTACAACACGGTCAACATAAGCTTAACTGCACTGGCTGTCTCCGAGCTGTGCAGCCTGGCCTCGCTGCTCTGGTTCGACATCTGTGTAAGTCCACTTTTTGGCTCTTTAAACGTTCCCATTGTCCCTTCTGAAGTCCAGCACTTGACCGGGGGCTTGGTTCGAGGATTTTTCTCCCGTATCTCCAATTGGATCACGGTGTTCATTACGTCAGAGAGGTGCCTGTGTGTCGTGGCGCCTATGACGGTGAAGAAAATGATTACACCAACGAGAACAATCAAGGCGTTGTTGGTCATGTACGTCATCACCGTACTACCTTTGGTTCCAGAGTACCTCTCCGCCTATTTGGGTTGGAAATTCGTCGAGGAAAGAAACGCAACTCTCTTCGGGTTGACATTGACACGGGATAGTCCTCGTTTGGAAGGGTTAACGTTCCTCATCTACTTCATTTACATTTTGATTGCTTACGTGGTCGTGAGCTGCCTGACCTGCATTCTGATTTTAAAACTCAAACAGAAAACCGATTGGCGCCAGAAAAGTATATTTGGGATGCAACGGTCAGAGGTCATCTCAGCGCGGGACAAGAAGACAATCAGCATGATCGTAGCTGTTGCGATAGTTTTCATCGTCTGCAACGGGCCGTCCGTTGTGCTCTACATGGTAGGGTACCTGTTGCCAGGTTTCAGCGTTGTAGGAGAGCGGGAAAACTTGTTCTTTGTGAGCTGGTCGTTTGGATTTCATTTCGAGGCACTGAACGGAACGATTGTTATCATGTTTTACTACAAGATGAGTTCCAAGTACAGGCGAAGTTTTCTTGGGCTCTTCCCATCGTGTGTGAAACAAGACAAGGGGGTAGTCAGTGAACTTATAGTTTTTTCTTAGTATACACCTTTTTTTCCCTCTAATTATTGAAAAAGAAATAATTCCTTCTCGGATAAATTTCAATTGGGATCAAAAATTATTTATTTGTTAATGTGACGGAGTAGTGAACGGGACAAGTTAACGAATGACGCATACACAATTCTTTAGTTGCCACACTTGCGTCATTAAAAATTTTCATATGGTGCGTCAACTAAAAAAAAAAGAGTATTTTGTGTCATCGTGGTATCAGGTATCGTGTTACCAATAGCAAAGAAAAGAAAGATACAGATAATATATATTTATTAATTGAATTTTAAACGATCTCTACCCTTATTGAGTTAGCACTCTTAAGAACGAAGTAAAATATTTTTATATATTATCTTTGATTTGACTCAGTGGCGTAGCTAGGGGGTGTGGGCGTTGCGGATTGCACCGGGTGACACCATCTCAGGGGGTGACACCAAATAATGAAAATTACGAATTGACAGCACACACTGCTTGGCCTAACAGAAGTTCATTTTTTAAAAAAAAAGGTTTAAAGTGAGTTGCGCGATAACTATCGTAAGTGACAAAAATTTATATGTATCTTAATTCTGAGAAATACTGCGCTCCATTGATACCAAATACGATGTTGTACGGCGATTTTAAGTTCATGAATTGAATCGGTAAAAATTAAACAATTTTGAACACTAAGATTTCACCCATTTACATAGCAGGCAAAAAAAAAAATATTTCACAAAAATTTCTAACGTCCTTTAATAATTAATTTAAATTATTATTATTTTTTTAATGGTGTTTGAAATCAAATATAGCAAAACCAGGAATAATATTTTTAAAAAAATATTTTCGCTGATTCGCCACTAGCCCGCCCCTTAACATTTGAGCTTAATTGAAATGTTTGCAGCTTTGACGATCAAGGTGAGAATATTGAAAATAAAGTAAATTTAAGTTTTAAAAAAAAATACTTAACGTTGTTACAGTTCTTAAGTACATTTATCTCCTGAACTTCAATTAATTTGTTTATGTACTTTTCATTTTTTTAGTTGCTGTATCTAATTTAACAAGAAGAATTCCGTCGTGGAAGGCGTTTTGGGTGGATAGTGGGGGGGGGGGTGACACCATGAGTTTACCGCACCAGGTGACACTAACCCTAGCTACGCCTCTGGTTTGACTTATACAATAAAAATTTTGAGTCCACATTTATGAGTTTAAAAAAAATAAAGTAAAAGATACTTAAATGTTAAAGCTACTTTCTAAGATTATCTCTCAATGCAGCTGATTACTTTCAATTTTATGATCGCATCAACAAAAGAATTTAATCCCCATTAATTGTTAAAAGTGCAAACTAAGAACCATCGCCACTCCCTGATCAGATCAATTCTGTGACCTCGCATGGGACTGACCAATGAAAGAAGGGGAGACGATGCCTTGCAGACTTTTGATAAATTGTATACCAAATTACCTGTCCTCACATAATTTCTATGGTCCATACATAGCACATTATTATTATACTTTAGTCTAACCTCCAAGTTATTTCGTTGTTGACTAAAAAAGTCCATGATTTACTAGAAGTACTGTAATGTTTGGACAGCCAGCGAGTGGGACATATCACTTCACTTTCAAGTGATAGCTTAAGTCGAAGGTATATATATATATATAAATACACACATATATATATAAACTAAACAAAGTACTTTCTTTGAAACTGTTATATATAATAATAAATACCCTACAACCAAGTAGCATAAAACTTTGTTTTAATACAAGGCCTAGAGAGAATGTATTAAAATCAAAGAAACCACCATCATTCATCATACTATTCTCCACGCAAGCACTGCGATCCTCGTAGCTTGAGTATAAATCCTTAATACCTTACGTTTTAATTGTAGCTGTCAAATTAAAATAATAATTTTTTTATTAACGCTGTCAAAATAGGAGCGGAATAATTAAGGTTAAAATGACACTAGCTTTAGGTAGGATAGGAGTCGGAATGTTCTGATCTGGCCTTCTGGGTTTTGCCAGACCTCCATTGACTTTGGTTAAAATGACACTAGCTTTAGGTAGGATGGGAGTCGGAATGTTCTGATCTGGCCTTCTGGGTTTTGCCAGACCTCCATTGACTTTGGTTAAAATGACACTAGCTTTAGGTAGGATGGGAGTCGGAATGTTCTGATCTGGCCTTCTGGGGTTTGCCAGACCTCCATTGACTTTGTTACTTTGCCCAGTATGCTCTTCAAGCCAGATAATCGAGCGACAACTCTTGATTTATCTTACTATGTATCATTTCCACAGTACAATACCCTGTGCGTATTTTCACAGCCCTTTTTTTCGGACGACTCCCAACATTTTTTGGAATATTCAGAAAAACAATTTCCCATCAATTATAAGTTTGAATTTAAAAAAAACACAAATTAAATTAAACCCATTTTGACTATTAAAAAACATTAATAATGTTCATTTGTGGTAGATAATTTGTCTCTCACCGGGGTTTTAACTATTCTAGATGGGTTTTTTTTCAAGTATCAAAAAGTTACCTGTTAGTGTTGTCACCTCGCTAGAAGGGTGTAAGAAAAGAAAGAGGATAACACTATTTTTGAATAAATAGTTAAGCAGGTTTATTTTGATTTTAAAAAAAAAAAATATTTGTTTAACATCAACTTTTCTATTAGATACAATATTAATGAAAAAACTCAGTATGTCTGTCTTTGAGCTCGACAGTTAGGCTGGTACATCTGAAAGGATATAATTGTGTGTCCCAAATTTTCATTACTTTACAAATATCTCTCATTTCGAAAAATAAAAAATAATAATTTTATGAATGACTTAAAATTGAATTTTCGTTTCGATTTAATTGTACAAACGAAAGCGATGAGCTAAATTATCACAATGTTAGCGCAACAATTATCTAATGAAGAATGATTCTAAAAATTATAATGGTAATTCGAGAAAATATATTGGAAATCTTGAATATATTTTGAGGGCATCACAACAAAATAATTGCAAAGAAATGACAACGTAATAACCTCAGCAACTTCAATTTAAAAAATAATACATTAGTTAAGAAATCACAGAAAGAAAACACAAACATAATGTCGAATTTGGCCAGCCTAAATCAGGAATCATTGTACAATTTAACAGGCCCTGTATCCCGAGCGGCTGCAAGGGGTCCCATCAGTTTGAGGGGCGTGAAGTTGTGATGGGAAAAAATAGATCAACCATTTAACTAAACATCAGATGAAAAGTAAATCTTCAAAATGATATCATATTTTATTTAACAGTACAATTCAACAAAATCGCCTACACTTTTGAAACGATAAATTGATGTGTCAGATTTGTATAAAAAAATAAATAGTATTGTGTCCTTAAGGGAGGAACACCGACTGTAACCAAACTTTAAAACAAAATCATTCTTTATACCATTTAATCTACATGCGTCTGTGAATATGTATATCTGTCTTTTCGGGTCCCAGATAACAGTAATCTACACATCTGGAGAGACGACGACGCTAACATGTAAATTTTTGATACTGGAAAAAAATAGTATAGTTAAAACCATGGATTTGGGCAACGTGTCTAGAAATGTAGACGTTATTTTTTTTCTTAAACTTCTATCCTTGATTAATTTTTTTTAGACATTTCTCCATTTTACTTATCTTTTTCGTCTCATTCTTTTTCTTCATCATCCTCTATTTTTTCTTTCATTTTTTTTCTTTCGTTTGCCTATCTTTCTAGCGCAAGGGTTGGTGAAGAGGTTCAGACGGCGATCCACCGTAACATGTGAGGCCTGCAGAAGATTCATGACGCCATTTTTTCACCACAAATTTGTAACAGTTTTACAACGCCATTGACTTGATCATTAAATATCTCTAGTATTGATGTCCTATTGGATTTAACATGACCGTCGTAACGAAGATCTAAGTCAGTGATTTCAACTCGCGGATAGCTTTGTAATGTCTATACGATACCTAACATTCCTTTTGTAATTGTATCACTCCAAAGTCAACGCCAGTAAAAAACACTGATCTTCGTCTGACTGTCCACGAGCTCACTGTGAAATGAAAGATGTGTTGAACTAGGTTAATTTATATGTTACTGTTACATTATCAATAAACATGCATTGGATCAGTAGTCAAGTAAAAAAAAATTGTTCACATATCTTAAAATGACCTTGGATTTTCGACTAAAATCATAGGTGTTAAATAATAAAAAATGGCTTCCAAATATGTACAACAAAATCAAAAGTATAAAAATTGTCTGGAGGTTTGATTATAAAAATGTACATTATTGAGAATAACGTTTTAAGTTTAAGATTTTCGATTGGAAATAACACAAATGGGAAAGAGGTTGCTCCGTGTGGTTGGGGGGGGGGGGGCAATGGTCTCAAAAAGTTTGGACTTTTTCTATTTCAAGGATCAATCAAACTAAAAAATTTTGACCTCATAAATTGGGTTTAAAAAATTAACTAATAAGATAAACATGTGTTAAATTTTTTTAGGGGGGGGGGGGGGGGGGGCAATGGTCTCAAAAAGTTTGGACTTTTTCTATTTCAAGGATCAATCAAACTAAAAAATTATGCACTCATAAATTGAGTTTAAAATATTAACATATTAGATCAACATGTGTTAAATTTTTTTTAGCCAAGTGCAATTCTTCCATGACTGCACTGTGCACGATGCAATGAGCTCACGGCATTGCTTTTTTTTTTTGTCTACATTATTTTATGAATGGAGCATGCATCAGTTGGACTGTACAACTAAGGTAATTAAAACTGCAGAGATCAGAATATGATTAAATAAATTACATAACATTTTCTTCAGTATCTCTTTATATGTGGGGCTTATTGTTAAATTTAATAATTAATTGCTAAGCTTCCTTCGTGTGAGATCCCTAATAAAGTTCTACCTTAACCATCCAGCTAAAACGTTAACCAAAGAATAATTCTTGCTGTATTGCTTCTGTCTCTC